CCAAGGCAACGAGTAGAAACGCAAGGCTCCGCCGCCAGTTCCGCACAATGGATGTCCCTCGTGCCTGCTTTTGCGAGTCCAGTACACCAAAACCCTTGGCCAAAGTCCAAGACTGGTTCAGTCGAGCACCGAACGGAGGTGGGGCGCAAATGGGCACGACTCCGTACGATCTCCACGACACTTTTTTTTGGCGTGGGCGGGCCTTGAAGACAGCAGTTGCTGCACTCGGTCCCAGTAAGAACTGCAATAATGCCAATCACAAAAACAACTGCAAAAGAGAAGACTGCGCATAACAGGGTGAGACAGGCCGCATGATCTCCATGACACACAATCGCCGCAAACCATGCCTGCAGGACTGGAGCCGCACAGCTCGGCATCCACCTGGGGGCAGAATGCGTAATCCGGATCATGGACGGCTCATTCGAAGCCAGAATTGCTGGACTTTCTGGCTCCAGATTCTGCCAGCCAGTCAGTAATAATGGTCTGCCGCGGCCGCCACGGTGGCATGAGAAGCCCGCAGTTCTAGTGCGGCGACGGACAAATATTCGAGCCGCAAAACCCCAGTTAAAGCGGCGAAGGCAGCAGCCAGCTACTGTCTTGCTGTCTACGAGGCCCGTCCACGCCAAAAAAAAAGTTAGAGAAAAGCAGACTTCGGTGAGATTGACCAGAAACTAAACACGGCAGAGTCACATGGCTGTGATGCATGACAGGTCTGGTGTGCCCGGGCACAGGACCCGCAACATGCATGCGCTACAACATGAGGCCGCAGTTTCAGAAAAACAGGGAGGGAGGTTTTGCAAGGTGCCTGTGTGCGACCCGACCCCGAGCATAGGTTTTTGGAGTGTTCCGGAATCCAGAGTTCGAACTCCTGGGGGGCCCGGGGGGGGGGAGAACATATAACTCCGGAACTCAGGGTTGAACCCTGGGTTCGAACTTCTCGAACCCAGGTTGAACCTGGAGTTTGAACTCTATGTTCAAATCCTGGGTTCGGGAACTCTATGTTCGAACCCGGGGTTCGGGAACTCTATGTTCGAACCCTGGGTTCGGAACTCTATGTTCGAACCTGGGGTTTGGGGAACTCTATACTGGAACCCCGGGTTCCGGAACCCCCCCCCGGTCCCCCAGGGAGTTCGAACCCTGGGTTCGGGAACTCTACGTTGGAACCCGGGGTTTGGGAAACTCTATGTTGGAACCTCGGGTTCTGGAATTCCCCCCCCCCCCCCCGCGGGCGTTCGAACCCGGGTTCGGGAACTCCACGTTTGAGGGGGGCTGCGCCCCCCCCAACCCCCCCACTGTTTTTAGAAGCTTGCCGATAACAAAGAAAAAGACTGCCAATGACCAGTCCCTGCCACAAAAGAAGAAGAAGAAGCCACACGAAACCGCTTTATGGGCGGTTTTTGCGAAGACCAAACAAAGAAAAAGATTGTCAATGAGGTCTTTCTTCTCAAGGGGGCTTCAGAAGGGGCATGAAGTCTCCTACGAGAATGCTAAAACCGCGAACAAATGAACCGCCCAACCCCGGGTTCTAGACTCCCTCCCTCCCAAAGTTCGAACGGGTTTCGAACACCAACAATCACCAAACAAAAGGAAAAGAAGCCACACAGAATCGCTTTGTGGTGGGTTTTGGCGAAAAAATGAACTGAGAGCATACTACAATGACAGAAACCACAAACTCAAACGCAAGCTCAAACAAAAGAAGAAGAAACCACACGAAATCACTTAATGGGTTTTTGCGAAGAAAATAAATGAGAAGAGAATAAGAAGTAATGATACAAAACGCAATCAAACACACTTATTTCTCCAACAATCATTCCAACAGATATTCCCACAAAAGGGGAAAATGCGAATATGTGAAATTGAATCCGAAATATATTGCATATGAAGTTGCAGTCACTCGCACAACCCTTGCTTCATTTTACTCTAGAGCGCGGGGACTTCAGAGCACGTCAGCGGTGCATGCACAAACACAAAGGCAGTACACGATGAGGGGCTCTGCATCGTGAAACAACAAGGGTCGCACACCTCGTCGTCACACAACAAACAGAGCTCACCTCATCACCCCCCGGGTGGGTGGGCGGGGCAAAATTTTGCCGCCACTCCCTCCTTGAGAGAGTAGCTGCTGCACATCACAAAATTTTGCAACCAACAGAAAATAAAACATGCGTGAAAAGCGTGAGACACCAATGCAAGGACAATGTGAGAAAATCTGTCTGCGCGCCCGACATGAGAAATGTACGTGCGCGCGTGAAATGATGTGGCGAAATAAGGTGTTCGCCAGGCAAGCTGGAGATAGCACTTATTTCTCCAACAATCATTCCAACAGATATTCCCACAAAAGGGGAAAATGCGAATATGTGAAATTGAATCCGAAATATATTGCATATGAAGTTGCAGTCACTCGCACAACCCTTGCTTCATTTTACTCTAGAGCGCGGGGACTTCAGAGCACGTCAGCGGTGCATGCACAAACACAAAGGCAGTACACGATGAGGGGCTCTGCATCGTGAAACAACAAGGGTCGCACACCTCGTCGTCACACAACAAACAGAGCTCACCTCATCACCCACCGCCGACTGAGAGCTCTGGCAAGAAGCACTGCAAAGCGAGAATGATGGACTGCAAATCAATCTCATCGCGACGGACACCCGCCAAGTGACTGCAATCATCACGCGAGGGGCCATCAGCAATGTTCGCAGCACTGCTCACCCTTTCGAACCATGGGAACGAGGAGGCACGTTCCTCCCAATCACTCAACCATTCCGACAGGGCTGAGAAGTGCACGCAAGGAGATTTGCCAGCAATGAACGCAGACTTGGCCGCTTCATTATCAACGAAGCAAACGGCCTCAGAGCCTTGTACAAGGCTGTTCCACACGTGCAACGCGACCACTACTGCCAAGCCTTCAAGAAAGTAGATGGGGCTCTGAACATCACCAAACCTGAGGCCCTCAAGTGCATCGTCGTTAAACAAGCAGCTGAAGAACCTAATGGGCTTCCCATCAGGTGCAACTAGTACCCCTCCTAACCCACAACTGTTCGCCTGGCCATCATTGTAGGCCGCATCAGTGAAGATGAACCAAGCGTTCTCACGTCTTGCGGATATTACCCTAGGGGGAGCACCTACAACCCTATCCTTAAGGAAAGTGAGGGCTGCTTGCAAGTCGGAATCCATGGCGGACCCCCCGATGAAATCTGCGCGCCGCGACAAAAGCTGCATGAACCTGCCGCTTCGTCGCCCATGGATCTGACCCTCAACGAACTGCAACCTCCCTCTCAGCGATGTGAGTTCATGTTGCTCCACCCACTCGAGACTGAGTAAGCGCGTGATGGTCTCGTCAAGTTCGGCCTTTCGCTCGGGGGTGTTCTCCACCACGAAGACTCTCTCGGACTGAAAGCAAATTTTGACACCAAGAGCTCTCGCAAAGTAATCAAAATCGGATTCTTTGTCCCGTGCCACGGTCCATCCAAGCAAGTCCCAAAAGCAATTGAGAACCAAGTCAAGGTGTTTCGTGGACGACGCCTCGTTGAGGACGATAAAGTCGTCGTAAAACACCGTCCAGTGGATCAACAACAGAGCACACCCTAAGTGCCACAATCCCATCGTGCTGCGGCAAAATGCCGCGACAGAAGCGGATGATCCGAAGGGCAGCACATGGCAGGCGTAGATGGATGGTTTGCCCGTCTCCGGGTTCGGCACACACAAGAAAGCATCCTGTATGGCGTCAAGGGAAATGCCGAGTTGCTTATAAGCTTTATGCAGGTCTATGATTTTAAGTTTTGGCACGCTGGCGCGGCCGAACCTCTCACGGACCCTGAGTCTGTAAGCGATGCCCGCACAAACCACATCCAAGCCGTGAGGTTGAATCGACTCGGTGCGGGAAACGGTCGAGTTGATAAAGGATTCCGACAGGTTGTCGATGGGCCTGACTTTGCGCTTCCCACCGGACCGCTGCTCAACTCCGAACCGTCTGCTCAAGGAACAAGTCTCGCTCAGTTGCTCAAGTGGCACGGGCCCTTCGAGCCACCCGCGGTCTACCTCTTCCTTGGTAATGTCGTGAACCTCCTGCGCGAGCTCGGACGAGCACACACGCTCGGTGGCGCGAAGAATGCCTGCACGGACTGCGCTGGCAGCGGCGCGCAAACACTCCTTGGTCATTGACGCCGGCTCCACAACGGGTTTGAAGAGCCCATCCGACGCAGGAATCGGACCTGTCAAGTCGAAGCCCTTCCCAATTTCGGACGCAATTGAAGAGTCGCCATAGCCACATGCGACGAGCATCTCGCCGAAGACCAAAAGCCGCTTACCCTTGAGGACGGCCTTAAGGTGTTTCGGCATTCCATCATGGAGAGCCCTTTCCTGCGGAGCGATCTCCTGCGCTCGAAGCATCCATCGCCTAAGGACCTCGGTGCGGTGTTGTGCTAGGCCCACTTCTGACTGCTCGACAGTTGCGTCGATCGCAGTTTTGAGCACAGGCGGAATTCCATCAAATAGGTGGCGTGGATGCCCCCTCTTCGCTGCCTCCTTGGCGAAGTCACATGGGTCCCAGGGTATGCCAATGGTCATGCGAACTTGAGGGGCATTGCTAGGAGCAGACGGCACTTTCGAAAAGGCAGAGGTCCAAGGCAATGGAAACCCGCAGGACCACAACGTTTGCTCCTGCGTTGGGGAGAGATCATTTTGCACAACCGCCGAATAAGCAATGATCGACCACCTGTCGCCGACCCACGGCAGGGTAGCATGCCTTGCACGACCATCGAACCGGCACGGTCCTAAGTTGAGAGCTAGACAGTCTCCCCACAGCCATTCGCCCGTGCACGGGTCCTCAAAGGCATGGGCCCCGCCTTCTGATTTAAAACGCTTTACGGGTACGTTCCGGACCCTTTCACTTCACACAGATATTCGCACTTCACTTTTCCTCAGGCGCACGGCTGTCTTGGGTGCGTCCCTTGAGCCTAAACACCACAGTGGAACATTTGTTCCATACTATACAAAATCATGTGGTAAACAGCTCATCTACAGGATTACAGGGCAACACACTCCTAAGCGAAATGTTTGTTACCCCCTCTTCGTGCATCCTCTTTTCGCCTTTTCCTTCCTAGAGGTGCAACGAACCCAAAACAGTCGCTCATTCCTCCTTTTGAAACACTCGTTGTGCACTCCGTTTTGTCGTGGTGTGAGACGAGTGAAACAGAGCTACTCCTACTGGCCGCTCTCAAACTCGTTCACTTCTTTGGCCTTTCAGCCTCAAAAGAACTCGTGGTGGCCCAAAAGCCACAAACTCTTCAAACTCTTTAAACTCTCTCCTCGTGAAGAAACTCTTCGGCTTCTCGTGGTGCAGTTGTCGTACAACTTTCAGAAAACTCTTTCCTCATTTGGGAACGAAGTTCCCCCTCTGGCTTTTCAGCCTTCAGATTCCCTTTTTCTTTACAGACCTCCGGTTTGGTCTTTCTTTCTTCTCTTTTCCTTTTCTCCTTTAGCCGCTCTTTTGCTGGGCTTTCTTTCCTTTGCCCTTCTCCGAGTTGTCTGTGCGGTACTTTTTCTTGTTTGTCTCCAACCTGTTCGCGTATGCTCTTCGAATTATCAATTCGTTCTTCTTGTACCAGGATTGGAACTGTTCCTTACTCATTTCTTCCCTTTGCATCTTTGGGGCATACTGCCCTGAGGCAGTATAATTGTAATCGGCATCCCAACACGTTTCGGAACCATGTCCGAAACGAGAACATACTGCGCAAACCATTGGCTGGCTTTGCGCATCAGGATCTTCGTTGATCCGGCTTTCCTCTTTAAACACCTGGAGCTCATCTTCGAGGGCCTTGTTGTTCTTTCCAAGCTCCTTGATAGTCTCGCGCATTTTCTTGCGCTCCTCTTTCATCTTCTCTGCATCCTCATTCGATGGGCCTTGCGTCGACCCAGCACTGCTTTTGCGCTTTTTCAGCTTTCTCAATTCTTCATTCAATTCTCCAATCTCTTTGTCCTTTGACTCTTTTAGCTCCTTGATCTCTTTATCCTTTTTGTCTATCTCCTCCTTGATCTCCTTTTCTTTCGTTTCTTGGAGCTCTTTAATCTCTTTGATCCTCTGGCTCTCCATCTCTTTCAGCTTTTGCTCAGCTTCGCCCTGAAGCAGTCCACCCGCTGGAACCTGCAGTTCCTTCCTTTTTGCCTTCAACTCCTCCAGTGCAGTCTGAAGTTTCGGCCTCAATTGGTCCATCTCTTTCTGCAGGGCGGACTCGGCATCCATTATCAATGTAGCCTCATTTTCCTGTTCCTCCTCTTCGGCTCTCAGCTTGTCCAGTTGTTTCTCTATGGACTCTTTGGCAACAAACGCTTCGTCCGCTACCCGCTTCAGCTCTTCCTTCACCTCTATCTCTTTTGCGATCAACTTATCTCTCTCTTCCTCTTTGATCTTCTTCTGTTTTTGCTTGTAAGTATACAAGTCCGAATAAATCGTGAATTTCTTTCGCTTTTCGTCCACTTTCTCCTGCAGAGCTCGCATCTGCCCAAGCAGGTCCTGCACTCTCTTCTCCTCCTCCAGAACTGACTTCTTTGCCATTTTGTCCATGATCTCCTTGTATTCATCATCACTGGACTCAGACTCTTTCTTTCTCTTTTCTCCTTTCTTTTTCTCTTCCTCTTTTTCGGAGCTTTGCTCTTCCTCCTCTTTCTCCGAACTCACTTTCTCCTCGCTTTCGGAGGCTTCTTGCTCCTCCTCTTCTTTCTCTTTCTTTTTCTCTTCTTCTTCTTTTGTTTCCTTCGCCTTCTCTGCGGCTTCATTTGCCCTTTCCTTCTGGCCCCTTCGCCTCTCGGAAGCATCCAAGGCCTTCTGCCTCAGCTCGCTCACTCTATCTTCCATAATCTGTGCCTGGCTTCCTTCGGCACTTCCTTTGCTTCCCTGTGCCTCTCCAGCCAATTCCTCGGCTGTTTTCTTGAACTCTTCAGGCACTTTAACCTCCGTCTTTGCAGCTTCTGACGGGGCCGCCTCTTTAGGCTCATACTTTTGGTTGAGGCGTTGCACTTCGGGCCATAGGGCATCCAGGGTTAATCTCCTCTCTCGCTCCTTTTTGAGCTCTCTTTCGCATAGGGTTACGGACTCTATGCTGCGGCATTCGTCACTGATCATTGTCTTGAGGGCCGCGTCGTCGGCCATCTTTTTCACTTCTTCTTTTTCTTCTATTTCTTTTCTCCTCACTTCTTTTCTTTTCACTTTCTCTCTTTTCACTTCCTTCCTTGAGTCAAAAACGGCAGCGGCGGAATAAAACATGCATTCAACACTTCCAACCAGACTCTTCCACAAGCTACCGTTGCAAGCCATGATAACAACCAGTGTCATCATCATCACCATCATCACCAAACCAAGGTTTCCACCTTCACTGCTTCTACTGCTTTGATCTCTTAGTCCATCACACTGCTGAACCATCATCATCATCACAAGTCTTCTCAGATACTTCGTAGGGATCTTGAAGTCACTTGCTATCCTGACCTCTTCACTTTCTTCCCCAGTTTTCACACCAATTCTCTCCAAACACTTCACAACAGCGTTCCTCGACAAAGCTTTTGTTCCTACATCTGCAGGGTTCTCCTTCCCAGCTATCGCTTTCACTTGAAGACCTACAGAAGTAAGCCTTTGAACCCAAAGCAGTCCTGCATCAATGTGCCTCGTTCTTCCTAGGCCTTTCTTCATGAGAATAGACCTAGCACTGCTAGAATCCATCCTAATCACCATCTCCGGCCTAATCCCTAGAACTCTGTGCAACAGGTTCTGTAGAAAAACTCCTTCACTCAAACCTCCAACAGCTGCCACCAGTTCGCTTTCGCAGCTGCTCAAAGCCGTCGCTTTTTGCTTTCTCGCGTGAAAGTAAACGATGTTACTGTTCACGAAAATCAACACGCAGCTCGTTGACTGCCTATTCTCACGATCGGTCGCCCAGTCGGCGTCGGTCACTACCTCGATCAAACTCTTTGCCGTAAAAACATCTTTGTAGGCATTCTCAGTTCTCTTATCACTTGGATCTAGAAAACTCTTTCCAGGATATGCCTCTTTGTGTTCTATCACGTAGTGGGCTGTCGCTTTTACATACTTTGCCACGTGCCTAAGCACTGCTAAGTCTCCTCGCGTTGGCGCTGCCAACTTCCCAGACAACCACTTCGTAGCGAATCCCAAATCAGGTCTCTCCGGTGTCATATACAATAGGATTCCTACACAGGATCTATACAGATGATGTTCATCTGCATCCAAGGGCGTATCGTCCTTCAACGATCTTCCGTAATCCATTGGAAACGGCAACTTCTTCGGCAGGGCTTTTCCCAAACCTAAAATCTCTTCCAACTTCTCAAGATACTTGCCGTCCATCCTGATCTCAATTCCTTCTTTCGTTCCTAAGAACGTCCTCTTCAAGAAAGTACACTTTCCTTCTCCAACCTTCACTGGTCCTTCCAGCTTTATCTTCAACTTGTGCTTTAGCAGCAGATCAACCACCGCTTGGTTCTCCTTTGGTTTTCCAAACACTTCCAAATCATCCACATGTGTACTCATCAGCGTTCCACCTTCTCCTGGGGTCTCTGAAAACTTGTAGAAGAAACTTGGTAACCCCACATCGGAAACCATCTTCTCTTTCTCCAGGATTTCTCGTAAGTGCTCAAACCAATCACTGCTTCCTGTTCGTTGTCCCGGCAGGGTGTACTGCAGCTGGTACCACTTTCCTCCTAAACTCACAACCGTGTACTCCTTCTGTGGCACCTGAAGGTACGCGTCCGAAATGTCTATCGAGATCATCTCGTAGTCTCTTGAACTCGCACACAAAGCTGATAACAGCTTGATGCTCGAACCAATACTCGTTGGTGAGTATAGCGCTGAGAGATCGTAGTCCGTCAGCCACTTGTACTCCCGCGCCACTAGGCGGGCTCTCCTCTTCCATTGGAGGTCCCTATGCCTCCAATCCAACACGTACTTTGTACTGAGTCTCTTTGGTTCTTCTCCATTCGGTCCTTTCTTTAACTCTCCATTCTCATCCAGTTCCACTTCTTTGAGAACTTTCATCTCCAATAGTCTCTCGATTTCTGTTCTCTCTGCTTTCAGGTCCACCTTTGCCAAATCTTCATCTTCCAACTTTGGTGGCCCATCATCATACTCGTGAGACCAAGTAACCGTTAGGTCCTCTTCTGTCTCACACACTTTCTCGTTCCACTTGCTCTGGAACTCTCGACTTTCTTCCAGAAACAACTGTGTCTCGTCGAGATCAACATACTCATCTCCATGCTCTTCGGGATCTTCGCTCTTGGCGAATCTCCGAATGTGGTATTCCACTCGTGCCGCGCTTCCTCGTGCTTCGTCTCCAAGTCTCGGCACTTTTTCAACTCTTTCTTCTACCTCTCCAGTTCCTTCGTCTACTCTTGGTTCTTTCTTTGGTGACCCTTCTCCTTCGTCTTCTGCATTCCTCTTTGCAACTTCTCTTTGAAACTCTTCCAATGTCATTTCATCGGGCACCAATTCATCTTCTGCTTTTCTCTTTGTTCTCACCTCTCCTGGATCATCGTCATCGTCATCGCTCTCATCGTCCATTGCTTCTGGTGTTGCTCCAGATAGCGACGAACTCTTGCTAGAAGAACTTGAGCTTCCTTGGCGGTCGCTCGGCGGCGAAGGCTCGCTTCTCTTTTCTTCTTCTACTCTTTTGTCAGCTTCCACCGCCAATCTCGGCAGTACTGGCCCATCATCAATAGGCACAATTCTCTTCTTCTTAAACCTCAAAGCCTTCAGCTGATGATCCCATGGAGCTCCAACCGAAAGTTGCAAAAGCTCCGGCTGATATGCCTCAGCACATCTTCTCATTGTTCTCGCTTTGATCACTCCTCTACCTGTGCCAATCAAGTTCAGATTGCTCGCGTAGTCCTTTCCAAGAAAGACTCCTTTCTCCCAAGGTTCTCCTTTCTCCTTGGTCTTTGGCACTGCTTTTCCAAACACTGCTGACCCGAACGGGGCCAACTTCCCTTTGTACGTTCGGTCCACTGTCGCTTCAAACGCAGTTCTGCCATCTCTTCCAACATGAAACCTGTTGTGCAGCCATGCTGCATGTCTGTACGCCCAGCTATAAAGCGGGACATCAGATCCGATGGCCGTTCCACTTCGTTGCTCAACCGTCGCCAACAACGTCTTTGCAAGGTTCCTCACAGTTTGGATATACCTTTCCACAGGCAACCCTTGATGCTCATCAGGCGTGGCATCTTGCAACTCCGTCTTCAAACCTTGTCTTGTTCTTGCCACTTGAACTCCTCTCCTGATGGCAATCATCACTGGCTCGGTATCCGTTCTAATCACCACTTCAGCGTAACCCAAAAGGGCTAACACTCTTACCACTTCACTCACTGCGTGGTTTATCACCGCATCTCCTCCTTTCGTTGGCACCGCAATAGCTATCAGGAACTTCGTGTCGTTGTCAACACCCGCAAGCTGAATCGCAAGCGGATCTCTCTCCTTCTCATCTCCTTGTGTTCCTGTGAACATAAAGTCCAAGCTAAACACGGGCCGTTGCGCTTTCTCTTTCGTCTCTTCAAAGTTGTCTTCTCTGCTCTTTGCTGCCTGGCATGCTTCACACCAGGGCGCTCTCGGCAAATGCGTCAACTCATGCGCTTCAATCTCTTCCGGGCTCGGCAAAGCAGGCAGAGCCTCTGGAATTGGTTCTCTCTCAAACTCCTTTCTGATATCCTCAGAGATTTGGGCTTGCGCTTTCACTTTGCTCAGCGCAACCTCTTTCTTCAATCTTTTCCACAAAATCTCTTTCGATCCATTCTTCGAGATATGCAGATACTTGCACGCCGCTTTCATCTCCTTCAACTCACTCTGGCGTGTCAACTTCATTGGTCCAATCACCATCACTTCTTCCTCATCTTCTCCAATAACTGGAACTCCTCTCTTCGGTTCCTCTTTTTCACTTTCCTTTTTGTCTTTTGAACTTGAGGAGGTACCTGTGACCTCCATTGGCACTCCTTCTTGTGCCAGTTCTCTTTCAAGCTCTTCCAAATTCGTGAGCAACCCATAGTCGCTCGGTTCCTTCAATCCTTTTTCCAACAAGGTGACCATCACCTCAAACCTCGCTTGAGGACTCGCCCCAAGTTGCACTCTTTCGCGATCCTTCCAGATCTCCGTACACTCAAAGAAATCCATACTCTTCCAATCCACTTCATTCAACACTCTTTCTCCACTTCTTTTCATCTTTCCTAGCAAGGTTGTCCTATAAGGAAAATAATCGCCTTCATCTCCTGCTCCCTCATAGAGTCTATTAGGGAACTGACCCGTTGGGTCAAACGTCTTCCCCATAAACCAATCAAACCTTGCAGGCGTGCCGTCATTTAGCACAAACCAACCATCTTCATCTTCTTTGCTCTTCAACTCATTCTTCAGTTCTCGCTCCAGCCTCACAGGCTGCACCGTCATCTCTTCTCCTTCAAGTCTCCGTATGCACATCCTCGCCATTGAGGAATTCCTTTTGAAGTATATCGGTATCCGAACACTTCCTTTCTTCAACCACAATCTTCCATCTTCATTCACCGTACCCCAACCTAGCTTCCACATCTTTCCTACCGCAAACAAAGGTTGGGTGACATTGCCGCAAACAGCACTGTCAGTGATCTTCAACTTCTTTCCAGACTCCTTCGTGAAAACAAACGTCACATTCTGCCTCACAGGCAGCGTTGGGATCACTTTCCCTTGCGCATCTTTCAGATGATACTCAAAGTTCGAAGTTTCTCCGACTTCTTCTGCCCAATCCATAGGCAACACATGGCAGTCAGCTCCACTGTCGAGCACTACCTCACATGCATCCACTTCTCTTGCTGCTCTTCTCACATCATCTCCTTCAGAAACCATTCTCACACTTCTTTCAACTTCTGTTTCCAAGAACCACCATCCTTGGTACCACTCCATCAAACCATCAGTAGGTTCTTCCTCGATCTCTTCCACTTCATCGCTCGAAGAGATATCAAACTCCTCAACTCTTCTCAGCTCTCCTTGAACCAAACCTTCAAACTCTTGACACAATCTCACAAAGTTGAGCTCTTCATCCTCATCGTTCCACTCTTGTGTCATCTCTACTCTTCTTGCTTGGCGCGCTGCTTCAGCTGTGATCTGCCTCACTTGACCAGTCTCATTCTTCGTAGGAGGGGCATTGCTAGAGGAACTCTTCTCGTGATCTCCTTGATGGGTTCCTTCCTCTTCTACCTGTCTCACTTTGCCTTTACCTCCTTTTCCTTTTCCTTGATTCTGCCAGCAATCAGCTGCTTTGTGTCCTGTCTTTCCGCATATGTGGCACTCTCCTATGAACTTTCCTTTCCCGTAGCCACCAGCGTCCACTGCTCGTGCATTTCTATAACCACCTTTTCCTTTTCCTTTGTTGTCGTATCCTTTTCCTTTTCCTTTTCCTTTGTTGTCGTATCCTTTTCCTTTTCCTTTTCCTTTGTTGTTGTACCCTTTTCCTCCTTTTCCTTTGTTGTCGTGACCTTTTCCTTTTCCTTTGTCTTTTCCTTTTCCTTTCACTCGATCAATATCCATTGGTTGTGGTCCATTGTAGGGTGTACTCTTCGTTGCGCTTTCCATGTTGAAAGACTGCAAAATGTTCTCCGCATTCCACGATTGGGTACTTCTTTCATACTCAAGCAACTTCTTCCTGATGTCTGCGTACTTCGTCGTAGGGGTCAATCCTATCAGGATATGCTTCCTCAACTCATTTGGCAAACCTTTGAGTACTGTTCCGATTTTCAAATTCTCATCGTAGGGTTTTCCTTCGGACAGTTTTTCGTATTCTGCCACCAGTTTTTCGTAGGTAAGCAGATAGTCTAAGATAGAAGTCCCCTTCGTCATCTGGGGAAAGCTCACTAGAGCTTGAGCCATTGCCAGCCCTCTTGTTCGGCTTGACGGCTCCAACTCTTCAAACAGTCTCCTCCAGACAGAATATCCATCTGGACTTCCTTCTGACTTCAATAACTTCAATGGCCTGTTCCTAAGATACGAGGCCAAAATCGCATACAGCTTTGTACTTCGCTCTCTTTCACCAACTGTATAATCTGCTGGATTTGGTGGTGCCAGCTCCACTTTCTTCAACTCTTCTGCATAAGTGGGATCAATGAATCCCACAAACACTTTGAAACTGAAACTCCAATCTGGCCACTGTGAAACTTCCTCCTCCAAATTCTTTGGAGCGAACACATCCGGACTCTTCACCAGCTTGGCTGCAGAGTCGTAACTTCTGGTACTTCCTGTACCTGCAGCACTTGCCAAAGCTTGCGCTGCTGCCGACAGGTTCCCTATAAGGGCCTGAAGGGATCCTCCTGCAACTCCATCTGGTGCAGGCATCGCCATTGGCGTATCACTTGGTGTATCTCCTCCTTGACCACCGTGACCAGGGGACACAGGCAAATCCGCGTCTCCAGCTGGACTTGGCGTGGCCATTCAACTTTCCTTTCTTTCACTTTCCGTGACACTGGGGCCCAAGGCTCTTTTCTCCTTGTATTGGGCTCTTCTTCAGCCGAAGGTCCTGGCCTTCAGCTCCGCTACCATAAAACGCTTTACGGGTACGTTCCGGACCCTTTCACTTCACACAGATATTCGCACTTCACTTTTCCTCAGGCGCACGGCTGTCTTGGGTGCGTCCCTTGAGCCTAAACACCACAGTGGAACATTTGTTCCATACTATACAAAATCATGTGGTAAACAGCTCATCTACAGGATTATAGGGCAACACACTCCTAAGCGAAATGTTTGTTATGATTCCACAAAGAGTTCGCCTCCGGAGTAACTTCCTAAGCCGATCGCAAAGTTCATGGTTCCTGGCACATTTGCCGAGTCCACGTGCAGTGCCGAGGGCTCGTTGTGAGTGACGACGAAGGCAGACCACGATGCATCCGGGAAACGCTGCAGCATAAAGGCATTTATGAAGGCAGCTGTGCTAAGGTGCTCACCTGTGAGTTTGGTAACACCCTTCCTCGGCAGGCACTTGTAGGCGCCCAAAACAAAGTATTTCACAGGTCGGCCGTCCTGAAGAATGCCCGCACGCCTGGCTTCCAAGGGGGTGTTGAATGCTTGCTGAAGTACCTGAACACACATTTCAGAAGACAAGTCACCCTTGCACAAAGCATCCACGGCCAGAGAGGACGGGGTGCCACTGGAATCAAGAGAAGAACCGCCCTTCTCAATCCCCGCGCAAGGAAGGGCGCAGAGAACACGTGATTTAGCAGGCAAGAGGGGATAATGCGGCTGGCACTGAACGCCTGCGCAAGGCAACCAAGGCTGCTGTAACACGGGCCCGGAAGGGAGCAACTGCGCTGGACCCTGCAAGACGCAAATGGCTTTGTGTTCTGGCAGAAGAGGCGGTACCCGTTTGCCGCGCGGTTGCGTGCCAGCAGCCACCCTAGCTTGTAGATGGATATCAGAAAGACCCGGTAAGGCTTGCGCAGGTGGCAGAGACCCAGCCGCACCAAGAGCATGCTGCAAAGCCTGCGCATACGCTCTACAGAAGGGAGCAGGGTAAGTTGTGACCGACTCCCGCGGCGCAGAATGCGCCGGGTGCAACGAAGTATGATCACATGGGAGTTGCAAGGCCTGAAAGGCATCATGGAAGTGTGCAATGCAAAGCTGACGTTTGAAAGTAGCCCCGAACATGCAAGTGTGAAAAGACGAAAACTGCAGTGGGATAATCGACGAAGATGCATCCAGCCAAGCACTGCTTTGCCAGAAGTGGCTGGAGGCTGGGTTTTCCAGAGTGGCAACAATGCCTGTCTGGAAAGCCTGAAGGAAAAGGGTCGATGCCAGTGCAAAGAGACGATTGTACAGCTCAACTTTGGCTTGATTGGGTGGAGAAAGGTCGGGCAGGCCGTCCGGAAACGCGTGTGAGCGAAGTGGCGGACCGCCACGACCAGGGAGGGCTGCAGGTGGCGCCAAATGCACCGCAGCCAATGCCCGATTGGAAAGCAGCAAAAAGAGCACTCTGACATCCTCATCAAGCGCGAGGTCCAATTTGACCACGGGCGCTGGAGCTGACTTGGGTGTCCATGCATCGATGCCGAAGACACTGCCCACGCCACACGCATGGACAGCACCTGAGAGGCGAGCTGAACCCGCGAAAACTTCCACAAAAAGCAAAGACTGAAGGGGCCTGCCGCGAACACGCTCTTGCAGGGCCTGGAAGAAGGACTCGGCTGAGTCGACAACGCGTGTCTGCGGCAGGCCTGGCTCTCAGGCTTTGGTGGGATGCTTGTGCTTGCCCTTGCCCTTGATTTTCGGAGTGGGCGGGGGCGGCGTAGGCGGCAGAGCATTGTGCGCATGCGGAGTAGGAGGCTTGGGCGGGAAGGCATGAGAGGGGGGTGCAGACGCAAGTGCCAGGGCTTCCTGCAGACGCTGCTTCTGGCGTTCACGGCGCGCCTTGGTGCGGCTCTTTTTGGCCGGGTTGGGTGTGTCGGTGCTACCATTGGGCGTCGCCATGACCTGTGAAGCGGAAGGGCGCTTGCTCTGGCCACCCGCGGGCAGCGGCATGAGGAACATCATGACATCGGTAGCCGTGGTGAGGGCTGCAAAGAGATCATCCATGGGCAAACTCCCATCTGCACGCTTTTTCAAGGAAGTGCCCTTTTCGGCCATGTACGTCCATGCTGCTCTGTCAGCCCTTAGAATTTGCATGGTATCCACCTGCTTGTACTCCATGGGAGGGGCCTGCTGCAAGTGTCGCAGAAGCTCGGCGTGCCACCGCTCGGAGGCTGCAAACGTTGCGGCTTCACACAAGTCAAGCGCGAGAGACCTTCGAGTCAAAGCCTGACTCAAGCTGAGTGCATCAGGGAGATGACACGTGTCAGCAAGCTCAGCAGAATCACGCACCTTGATGGCAGACGATGCATCAATGATGACTTCTTTGGGGGGTTTGGATTGCTGAACCTCATGAGCCCGAGTGGTGAACCGATTAGGGGCGAGATAAGTAATTTCATCAGTGGCCAGCATGCGAATGACAAGTGTGTAGCAGCTGAAAGAGCATTCCAACGGACCGCGGAGCGACATTCCGGCCAGGCGGCGTGCTTGCTCCTCCAGTCGGAACCGCCTTTCGGCGGGCTGAAGGTCTTGTCGCTTCTCGTCCGGCCCCTCGATTTGCTGACGCAGCTGGCTTACTGCAAGTGTCTGTGCTTCGAAGATTAGGCGCCTAGCAATTGCAACCTGACCCTGCTCAACAGTGGCAGGCGACTCTGGATTCAGAAAAGCTCGCAGGGCATCTTCGGCGGGTACAACACCCGGGGCCCCCACAGCATATGCAGCCTTGCTAAGAGTGTCGACTCCACGTCTTACAATGGCCTCGAAGACAGTATTGGTCAAGCCATACTCCAACACCTTGTTTTTGAAGGCAGCTTTCGAATCCAAGAGTGAGGCACCGGACATGCTGGATCGTAGGCGTCTACGTCAGGCCCTGCACTGAGCTACACTTGAGATGAGCAAGCCGAGCGTTTAGCTAGCTGAGCCATGCACGACAACACATAAGCCCGCAGGAGTGCTCCAGTTTTCCTGTAACCACTGCTCGAGCGAATGCGGGCCCCGGTGTGCCCGAGGCTGGGTGCTGCTGGCTCTCACCACAGGGAGCGCACAGCGACACCGAAAATGTAAGACAGCACACTCTAACCCAAGAATGTTCCAGCACCTGTAACCACTGCTCGAGCGAATGTAGCCACCCCCGGCATTGCCGAGGTTGAGATGCTGCTGGCTCTCACCACAGGGAGCGCACAGCTGCATCGAAAATGTTTGCAAGAGCGGTGACATCTGGGGCCTCATGGAGCACACGCCGAGCGGTTCTCACACGGGTCCACACGAGTCACTCGCCGGCTCACTCTAACCAGTGCGCCGCCTCTTGTCAAGAACATGCACAAGTTGTGCCGTGCTTCTGATGGTTTTACCACGATCGCACTGCACACACTTCAGAGAATCTACAATCGGATGCCCAGTGGCTCGGAAGTAGGCTTGCGACTTGACCCTCCCGCACACGAAGGACCCTGACTCTGCATCGGCCTCTGGGAGCAGATGCACGGTTCTGCTTTGCCTGTGCTGCCAAACCTGGCAAGCGTCTCGCCAAACTGGCCGTTCAAGAGCAGCAAGGTGCGGGCCAGGTTCCGACTCCACCTCCGTGTCCGTCGATGAAGAGCTCGTCGAACTGGATGACGACCCGTCGAGTGCGACATCCTGAGCAGGGTTGCTTCCATGGAAGCTCGGGCTCGGGGCTGGGTGCTCAATGGCATCAGGCTCGAAGCCCTCAAAGGCAGAGGTATCATTCTCTAAGTCGCTTTGGTCGGCTGGTGCCCCGAAAGAGAGCTCGGCCGGGTCAAAGCTCTTGTTCGCTTCAACATCACTGGAGCCAATGCCACCCTGCGGCTCGGTTGATTCCTGACAAGACGGTGACTTGTCAGGCATGTCAGGGAAATAACCACTTCGAGAAACGTCTGGCAAGAAGGATCCGGTGCGAATCGCCAAAATGCACGCCTCCAGATCTCGCAACGGTGCGGCAAGTGTGTCTCTCCCGTAACACTCTGCAGATCCACGATCATTGTGATTGCCCAAACGAGTCCTCGTATCTTTGGAGATGCCGTACTTGGCCGCCCATGATAAACAAGTTGCCTTACACGAGTGAGCGCCTAGCGACGGAGCCTCGGCATGCCCAGCATTCTGAAGAATCTGAACCAGCCAAGCCCTCGCTTCAGTCGTCGAGCAACTCGACTCGAGCCACCCGCCTTGGCTCGGGAGCGGCAACAATGGTCCTTTGGCACCCCCTTGAAACCGTTCAAGAGGGAGACCCACATCAGTGGCGATGGACCGCCACGACTCAACCCAACTTCCTATGGTGGCACTCTGAACCGGGGCAACCAAAGGGATTGAAGGAAAATGGCGCCGCATCTTGTGCGACCAAGAGATGACCTCGATGTACCCGACAAGCTCGCCATTCTTCGTGACGATGTCAAAGACCGCATCACTGATGATTTTGCAATCGCCGAACCTCGCCCTCGAATAGATCAAGAACAAGAAGCACCCTGCCGCGTAGAGGTCTTGCAATGCTCCCACTCTCCGTTTGACGAAAGCCTCGAGTGTTGCAACCTCTCCGACCGTGAGCGGCCGAGCTTTGGCAGTGGGCTTGGCATTCGCCGCGGCCATCCGCAGCACTCCGCGAATCCAAGGTGAATCGCCTGCATTCTCAGCAACGGGTATAGGCCAACAACATGTCTGAGGAACCCCACCATCTCCAGCACGCCTTTGATGCGAGAAGCAGGTGCCTTCTCTTCCACCAGCTTCTTCAAATACATTCGGCATGCATGCTCAGTCATAGGAAAAGGCGTAACACACGCAAGTAGGGCCCATGCCAGGAATGCTTTCACTTGCCTCAATCGCTTCTCCAGAGTCGACAAGGCCTTGCCGCCAAGGGTTTGCGTGACAACTGCAAGCTTCTCAGTTTGGTCGGCTGCAGCAGACATCATGAGGCCGAGCACAGTCCCATCGCCAGCCCACGGAAGGATCACTTGGAGCCACTCCTGGTACACGAGATTGAACCGATCTCGCTCAGGGAGGCGATCACGTCTGAATGAATCCTTGTTCCATGCTGCAGTGAATGCTTTCTTATCACCTGGGACAGTTTCCGACGGTTCAGGCCCCAAAGGCCGGACAGATGCAGTATCAATGACATCTTCGATGTCTAGCGCGGGCCTGGGCAGCACTTCCGGTTTTCCAAAAATGGCCGCCAGCGGTCCCGTCTCCCAAGGCAAAGTAAGGGCAGCGATACTCGGCGCCGTCGTCATGGCCTCGACAGACATGCGGCGAAGCCTGTCCCTGGCACCTTGATCAAAGTCACCACCTCCAGCCATCACACCGAGTTGAAAGACTCTTAATGCAGCTTGAGCTGTAAACTTAATGCAGGCAGTCAAGCATGAGGAGTGAGCAGCTCGAGCAGTGAGCCTGAAGATTCCCCTAGCAAAACAGGCGACAGTTTGTAGCATGCCAGCAGCATCACACGTGAAGAGCCCAGGCCCGGAAAATCACAGTGACCTACGCCAAGCAGATCACTGATTGCTGCACGGCTCCAGCCCGCCTCGAAGATGCAGACAAAACCGCGGAGCGAGGCCGCAGCAGCTCAGGGCGCAAGTTAGGGGTCCGCCGGAAAGCTGGGCATCGGCTGTGGCACAGGGTTAGGGCAGGATTAGGGAACCAAGAAGGGGCACCTTAGTCGCAGCCAGGGGCAGGGCGCAACGGAGGCACCTGCAGATATTGCATGATGTGCTGCAGGAGTGCGTCAACACGACGCAACCGCCGCTCGACCTCGTCAATCCTGTGGCTTGCCAGCATCTGTTGCTCCGCGGCAACGCGGCGCAACGCAGCAACTTCCAATGCAAAATCGCTAAGCTGACTCTGTTGCTGTTGCAAAAGATTCTGCAAGTACTGAACATGTTCCCCTGGCAAAAGGTGAGGTTGTGTGAGAGGCACAGCAGGTAAGAAGCTCACGCGGGGCCGCACAGTGAGATGCCCAAGCTGAGCAGGGACAGTACGAAGCCTCTGCGAAACCCTGGGCCTGCGGCGAGAATCCGAGCGACTCCTGGAGGCAAGCCTAGCACGGCGGCTTGCACGTTCAGCTGAGACCTCATATGTATCCGCAGCAATAGCAGTGAAATCTTCAATTGGATCGTCCGCCAATTCAGGACGCTCAAAGCCTGTTGGGCGCGACCAAGGATCGGCAGAAGCGCGTCGCATGTTATCAAGCAAATCCGAAAACATGAAAGCTGGGTGAAAGCCCCTCAAAGCAACTGCTGCTGTCGCGAAAAACAGCACGCAAAGATGTCCCACCACGTGGAACGGCTCGGAGGAGCAGCCTGACGAAGGTCAGCCAGATCAGCTTCTAATTGACGGATCCGACGCTCGCAAGCACCGACGTGAGCACTAAGCGTCCGCAACTGCAAGTCCAGCTGATGCACGTGCCGGCTAACTAAAGAGACTGTAGAGGGTGACTGGCTAGCGGAGCGATCAGAGGAGTCAAGGTCGACTCCCCAAATCGTTTGGCCTTGCATGCAACAGGCCTAGGAGCACACCAGCCAGAGCGAGAACTGTTCCCCGTGGGTACTAAGAACGTCGCAGCTGGCACCCGCTACAGGCAAAATTTTGCCGCCACTCCCTCCTTGAGAGAGTAGCTGCTTGAGCCAAAATGGCTACGGAGCCTTGAGAGAGTAGCTGCTGCACATCACAAAATTTTGCAACCAACAGAAAATAAAACATGCGTGAAAAGCGTGAGACACCAATGCAAGGACAATGTGAGAAAATCTGTCTGCGCGCCCGACATGAGAAATGTACGTGCGCGCGTGAAATGATGTGGCGAAATAAGGTGTTCGCCAGGCAAGCTGGAGATAGCACAAAAGAAAAAGAAACACACAAGAGCCAACTAAAATCAAACTCTGGGTTCGGGAACTTATGTTCAAACCCTGGTTCAAACTCTTCGCCTTTCAGAGTTCAACTCCAGTTCAACTCCAGTTCAAGAAGTTCGGAATTGAGTTCAACTTGGAGTTCAACTCACGAGGCTCCGAACTTTTTGGTTCGGAGTTCCAGACTCTGGGTTCGGAACTCCAAGCTCAAACCTTGGGTTTGAACACCCACCAAAACCAATGTAGCCCGACCCCTTTGGTCACTCATTCTTGACTATCTGCTGTAAACCCAGCGAAGCACAGAAGCAAACAGATCGTTGCCATTACATGCAATGGCAAAGTCGTTCAACTTGAATTAAGTGCACTCGAGCAGCGCGTTCACCGGCCCAAGCCCGGACGGCTAGGATTGAACCCCAATCGAACACCTGGAACCGGAGTTCAAACTTGCCTTGATAAAGCAGTCTGGAATGCACGGGCTTGGGCTTGGGCCCCAATGAGGAATTCGGTCGAACAATCTCAGCTTTTTTGGCTTCGCTTGAGCTGAAAGTGATTTCGTGCGTCTCTTCTTTTGTATTTGGTGTTTGAACCCAAAGATTGAACACAATGCCAGGGCCAAGCTTATCCTTTCTTGTGGCTCGTTTACAGTTGCCAAAAACCGAAAGTTCCGTCGAAACAGAACCAGAACATGCAAATCAAAATCTTTCAGCGGGACCGTCTTAAAAAGCTCCTGCAACTCGCTACTTTGCAAATTGAAACTTTTCGCGTCGTTTTTGCAGCTACAAAGGTTTTTGGAGGGGTATTCGACCTCCAATCTGTCCGCGACGGCAGCCTCATCCCTTTGTCTCTGCGCCTTAGCGAGCCCGCCAGGGCCGGCAAACGCCAGTGGCACCGGCTCCAACACCCGACAACCCACGGCTGCAGGCGGATCCGCAGCAAGGCACTTCTCTTCTCCATTGTGGTGTATGTTGCTGCCTGTGCAGCTTGTGTTCTATTTAGCTAGGGCTCTGACCGACATCTAAGGCGGCTTGTCTCTTGCAGCTTGTACGCGTTGCACCAGTCGAGCACAACAGTTTGTTGATCTCAGAGTTAAGGCGGAAGTTCCGGTCTCTCTGGTTGGTCAACTCCAAATTGCGATGCCCGCATGATGGGGAGAAGAGCGGGCTGCGCCTGCAATCCAAGAGAGGCATTATCTAGAGGAAGTAGAAGGAAAAGTGCCCTTACAGAAGCCGGGGTAGGAAAACATTTGTGGATCGAAATCGCCGCGCCTTGCTGGAAGTTTTTTTGGCTTGACTGGGCCTCGTCGACTACGGCTGTAGCACTCGGTCCCTACAAACAAGCGAAACAACAAACTAAGCAAAAATTTCAACAAAGCGGTGAAACAGCAAAGCGAAGCTCTACAAGGGCTGCGGCGCACAGGCTTTGCCGGTGTTAGCCGTTCAGCACAAACTACGGAGCCTCAGCGACCGGTCCGGAGCAACAAAGAGCCGTCGCTCTGAGCTGCCCAAAACAACAGGTGGAGCCAAGACCAGGCTCCGGCAGCCGTTCTAGTCTCGCCAGACAACGGACAGCCCCTGTGTTTTGTTCCGTCGCGATCGTGCACACCAAATTCCAAAAGTCCAAAGCCCACGGCAACGTGAGCGGCTTCCAGACAGGAGCGCGATGGCCAGAGTCGCAAGAAAGCAACTCACAACCAGCCGGCGACGCATACACAATCCAAGGACAAAACCAATCATTCCTCGGCGTGCGGAGCGCAAGGGCGTCGCGAAGGCCGGCGTCCAGCGACAACAAGTCGCCTGTCACAGCACGCAAGTGGCCGGACAAGTGCTGCAGACCGTGGGGACCAAGTGTTGTGCGTCGACCTAGAGCAGCGCAAGTCAGGGGCCGCCACAACGGCAAAGTGACAAAGGTCACCCATTACGAGAGTACACACCGGACCTGGAATGACTCAAGTTGGTGCGTAGCGCACAAAGCAGGAGTGGCAGGAGGGTGAATATGACGTATGTCGTCGGTTGCAACGCCTTCCACGGGGAAAGCGGCCTCAGCCAGATATGACCCGGCTTGTCTCAAGGGTCCGTCACAACCAGGCCTCCCAATCCAATTGCCAAGTGCACTGGCGACCGAGCCTGCACCTGTGGTGTCCATGGAGCAAATTGGCAAAAGCACCCAAGGCACAAACAACCTAGGGGTTTGGGCCAATATCTGATAAAACAAACACCATTCGTTTGCGCAGCATTGTTGCAATAACGAGAACCCTTCGCGTAGAAAAGCATTCGACTTCTTGAAAATCATTCGCGGACTCGCATAAACCACCTCATTTGCGCGATTGCCTGCTCGCGGCGGACACAATGTGGCTTCTGCTGTTCGGCTTTGTCGGGCTACCACAGTTGTTCAGTGGTTTTGGTACTTTCGGTGCACCGGTGTGCCGCACTGAGCCTGGGAAGCCGAGATGGTTTAGAGATTTTTAGGGTTGATGTTTATCAACTGGTAAACGGCTTTGAGATGCGGCTTATGAATCCCTGGCTGATGGGGCTGACACTGATGATGATTATGAAGATGATGGGACGACACTCATCACGGTGACGACGACGGCAGCAACGGGGACGACAAGGACGGCGACGAGACGACGACGTGAACGACAACGACTGGCGGCACCGACTGGAGGCCTCAAGGCTGTAAAGATGAAGCACTGATAGATTGCAGTTAAGGTTCAGGATTCGGGTCTACAAGATTTAGACTCATGTCGGCCGACGGCAGACACTGGCACCAGCTGTCGCACAAGAGCTTTCAGAGAACTGAGACAAGGCCATTATTTAGCTAGTTTAGCTATCAACGCGCATGGCCTCGACATGCCTAGGTACGCTAGAATGCCACCGTGACATGATTGAAGGAGATCTTTGCAACATTCGTGTGATGAACAAACGGCTGCTGCTATCACAGCTTGGGTCAAACTTCCACTCCGACGCAAAACACATCGGCCGAAAACATAAGCACATGAAGCCAGTGCACAGTATAGCACTTTGTGCTTGAAGTGTGCCCATGTCGCGATTTGCGCCCCAGCTCGGTGCACAAATCATTCACCAAGCCCTTCGGCAGTGTCCGGCATGCGCTGATGTTTACAGCACGGTTTCCTCTCTCGCTATCGGTCTGTCTGTGTTCACGCGCATCTGTGCGAGGTGCATGTGCTGTGCACGGTATGTTGGTGCATCGGTTTGTCAGTGGGGCGGTGTGTTGGTGTGTCGGGGTGTCGGAGTGGCTGTGCGTCGGTGAAACGGTGGGGATTTCGGTATGCGTGCGATAGAGACATAGAAGCACGACAAACAGAGACACAGAGAGAGGGAGAGAGAGAGAGAGAGAGAGAGAGAGAGAGAGAGAGAGAGAGAGAGAGAGAGAGAGAGAGAGAGAGAGAGAGAGAGAGAGAGAGAGAGAGAGAGAGAGAGAGAGAGAGAGAGAGAGAGAGAGAGAGAGAGAGAGAGACAGAGCGAGAGCGAGAGCGAGAAGGGAGCGGGAGAGGGATAGAGTGAGTGTATTTTTGTGTTCATGTGCCATCCTCTGCCGCACTCGGCACTCACAAGCTCACTCCCGCTTTCCCCTTAGCAACGCAAACACAGAGCATCCACAGAGAGTAGCATGACATGCGCCCTACACAGCAGCTGGACTGTTGGAACGTCAACTGCACCACTTCTTTGCCACCTCAGCTTTCACAAAAAAGCTTCGAGGTTTCGTCTCTTGATCGCGATGCCCCATCGCGAGCTCTTGAAAGATCGTGGTTGCATGAAGCTCTAGGCCTCAGCAAGCGAAAGGCAATCCACTGCGGACTGCAGTGCTGTATTGGGTTTTCCCAGTGACAGCAAGTAACTGTTCAAGTGATGAAGCTGGGGCAACGATGACAAACTGAGATACTGAACACGGACTCCTAAGAAGTTGCCGCCGTTGCTGATGCACTCGTAGAACATCCACCCCGCAGGCAGAAACAGGACATCATTCGGCCCCACGGTTGCATGGAACAAGACCTTGGAGCTCGGGTTGGCATCAACGAAAGCCTTTGCAGCCTCCTTGCTGGCCGACTTGAGCCATTGGTAGCAGCGAGCCAAATCAGCTTTGCCGCCTCCTCCCTGACTCATGTGCTCGAGCAAGCTCGAAGTGTGAACTGCAACGACAGCTCGCGTGCCTCCAAAGCCGATGCGGCACGTGGGAAGATGCCCTGCTTCTGCAGAGGTTGTGACCCATGACTTAGCAACGATGAAAGCTGCCGGCACCAGCAGCTCGTTCTTGACTTTGTCCGGGATCTTCGCGCTCTCCAAAATGTGCCCCTCCGGGAACAGCTTCTGCACAAAGTCCACAATCGAAGACTTTTGATCCGCAGGAAGGGCTCGCTGGGATCTGCCAGTGGAGGTCCTGGCAGGATCATTCTTGAACTTCTGCTCAAGCACAGCCAGGGTGGCCGTCTTGACAGTGGCAAACTCTGCCACCTGCTTTGGATCCATGCGGAAAATGAGAGGCACATCCAGCTTCACTTCCGAAGCTGGCTTTCCATCTTCCTTGATGACGATGCTCTCGATGTCCGTGGCCACGGAGTTCGGGGCCGCAACCATGGTCTCCACTGCCGTCTCTGCTTTTCTGGGGCGTCCGGGTTTTCGCTTGGCCTGTGCCACCTGATCTTGCTCATCCTTCCGCTTCTGCTGCTGCTTGACAGCATCCTGAATGGCACTCACAAGTCGACTCTTGGCGGCTTTTGCCATGCTGATAAGGTCTGCGTACGCAGTTTTGAACGGCTTCATGTCATTCTGTATCTGGGTCAACCTCTCCTTGGTCTGGGCCGCCTCGATGTCGTCCAACTTCTCTTCGAACTCCGCGAACACCACCAAAGATTGATAGCTCCGGCATGGCGGGGCCGATCCAAGAGGCTTCTTCTCGTCCGTGCTAAAGGATGCAATGTACTTGCGCAGAGCTTTCTTTGCATCGAAAGAGCTGGATCGCACAAATCTCTCGAAGCTGGACACGGAAGCTGGCGGCGGGGCCTTACCCGTCGGCTGATCTGAACCCTTGCCCTCGTCGCCCTCACTGCGTTCCTTGTGCTTGACATCCTCCTCCTTGGGCTCGGCTTGTGGTTTCTCTACACTCGCATCGTCCTTGGGCTCGGCTTGTGGCTTCTCTACACTCGCATCGGCTGCGACGGGCTGTGAGGCAGACGCAGGAGCAGAAGCAGGATCAGTAGGACCAGCGCTGTCCGCCTCTTCATGTTCCCCACCCTGGCTGCACTTCTCACCCGCAATGAGCCTGAGCGCGTGAAGCCGATTCTTTGCCAACCTGGCTTCGTTCTTAACCTCCTCAGCAACGCCATCGGTCTTCTCCAAAGCCTCTTGGAGCCCCTGAATGGTGGAGCTGATCGTGTTCTTGGTGTTGTTGATCCAGGTCTGGTGGACTTTCAAGGCTGAGGCCACAGCTCCATCCCGGTCAAACCACGCATCCTTCTTAGGCTTCTTGAGCGGCTTCTTGTCTGATCCTGAAATCATTGAATCCGCATCCGCATCTCGCTTCTTCTTGGGGGTGGTGTTGTCTGATGGACCTGATAGGGCGGCGGATGCGGGGATCGTGTCATCGCCGCTCTCATCGTCCTGCTCCTCCATCTCGGCCTCATCCTCGGAGAGGAGATCCCTGACATTGCCGACGTGGAGAGCCGCTTTACCCTCGGAGGAAAAGGCACCGCCGTCATTGCCGGCCGAAGTGGCCATCTGGACCATGGCAGCGGCTTGGTCAACACGGCCACGGATGTTGGTTGACAGGAAGCTAGCATCCTTGGAGAGCCGTGCCTCCGCTTTGTCAATGTCAATCTGGGTGGCCTTCTTCTGTTCCTTGTCTTTGACAACGTAGCCCTGCGATCGGACGGTTGCGTCTCGGAACTTTACCAGGTCCGTCTTCTTGACGGCCACCCTCTCCTTGTACTTAGGGTTTTTGCCGAGCTCATCCCTGATTGCATTCGGTGCCGAATACAGCGTCTTCCACTCCGCAGCCGCTTCCAAAGGGTCCATCCCACCGTTCTTGGGCTTACCCATCCAGGCCACGTACATCTGCTCCGTCATCATCTCCATGATTCCATCAAAGATCACGGCACTTTCTTGGCGCCGTTCCTCGATGTACTGCAAGATGTTGAACGTCTCCTTCCGCTTCTTGCCTGGAGGAGGTGCCCGGGCATGGTACGCCGCGACCACTTTCTTGAGCTTCTTGGGGTCGCGGACTGTTTCCTCCCACCACTCAAGCTGGTTCTGATTGACGGCGCAATTCTTCAAGACCTGAATGGCCTTTCGGTCCTTTCCACATTGCCCCGACCCTGGCGGGAAGTCAGTCACCGGCAGCATCTTCCCGCACGCCGGGCAAAACTTCTTGCCATCCTTGGTCACACGATTTCGACTCTTGCCCTTGTCGTTGAGCACCTTGATTCTGTTCGAGTTGTTGTTGCCTCGAGCTCGGCGTTTCGGTTGGGCCTTTGACTTGGCCCGCCCCCGTCTTGATGTCCCAGTGGCTGACCCCTCTGCACTGGATTGCTCGGAATCAAGGTCCCCCTCATCAAGGTTGCCCAAGTCAAGCTCGTCGGGCAAGCCCTCGGACTCGTTGTCAGCCATGCTGCCCAGCTCCACACACTACGGAGAAAACCCTGAAACTCACTACGGAGGCCAGGGGGGGCCAGGATCTGACCTCAATCCTCCAGCAACAGCATCTTTCAATGTGCGTCAAAGAACATGTGACAGCGAACTGCAACATGTTGCAAAAAAGGTTTGATGGCACCGTGACTGATGCGGCCTGCACAACTCCCAAGTTTTGCTCAACACTGATTCTACAGTCTTTACAGCAAGTCAGCACTCAGCACTGCAGTGGCAAGCCTAAGAGAGAAGGCGCCGAAAAATGTGATGCGTTCTCACGGACGGCTGGGAAGCATTCGGGACTTGTCTGAGAAACCAAAATTGTACAGCATCCAAGCTCCCATGCAGTTCCAATGCATGGCGTTGCCAGTGAGAGTCCGTTGGGACGCTTCCGTGAGCCCTTCTGCTGAATCGGGTCGCAGCAAGGACTCCTCAAATGGGAAGGAGGCCTTAATGTGCTCTGGCACACCCAAAGCATCAGGATGCGCAAACCCCTGAGCAAGCCAGTGCACTGCAACTGGCACCGACCGTTCCCGAACCAAGTCCCACAAGATTGTGTTTGTCAGAAGACATGGCATTTCAGCTGTTGTTGCAGTGTTTCGGAAGCGAGCATTCTGGCTCAAGTCAACCAACACGAACGGGAACAGCCAGCCTCCACTTGCATCTCTGAACTTCACATTCTGGGCGTCTTGCTGCGACCAGCAAACCCAAGATTCCAACCTGCCACAACAGCCTGCGGAGAGTCCATCTACTTGGTTTCCTTCCTGGCCTGCACTCCCGGATGCACCAGCCTCAGACGTAGCATGCGACTCGTTGTGATGCATATGATAAGGAACTGCTTCCAAATAGATGCCAGCCGATGTCTTCAACGATCGAAAGAAAACATCTGCAAAAGACAGACTGAAGTTGCATTGGACCCAAGGACTCAAATGCAAAGCCGTGTACTTCCGGAACCTCGAACTCGGGACACCAAGATCAGTCGGAGAAAACACTTGTGAACACATTTGATACCTTCTGGGGCTCTTCTCTTCAGAAGCAACCAACGGCCTCGTCTGGATGTGTTTCAACACGTCCTCGAAGCAGCCAATGATGCCAAAAAGCTCTGCCTCAGGAAAGCTTTTCACGTTCTCTTGCAAGACTGTGTCCGGCTCGTAAAAACGTGTGCTATATGCCCATGTGAGGAAAGGCAACGTGGCACTATCCAGCCATCCGTTTGAGCATCCACCCTTAGAGGATGACATGATTGACCATGGGCAACATGTGTTGCCGCTCGCTTCTACCCAGTACGCTGTCCTCAGTGCAGGATCACTCCGAGGGGATATGCAGCACTGCTTGCCATGCACCAAGCAAAAATCGGTGTCGTTGAACTCTACAGTGGCAAGCACTTCTTTCAAGCTGCTGACATAAGAAGATTCCAGTTTTTGCTTCATCGTAACGAAACTGGCTTTGTCAATCTGCTGAAAAGACAACTCTTGCTGCAAGCACTTGTGGTCTGATAAGGCCCGTTGCTCCATATCCTTCAGCTGGGTCCTTGCCTGTGATGGCAATCTGCCCAACACGTCCTCGAAAATGTGGCCAATTCCAGCTTTGTGCTTGAACAAACATGCTTGCGCAGCAGCATTCCGCTCGGTAGCGGCATAGCTGCAAACATCTCCACTGAAATCTGGAAACTGTGACCGCAGACGGGCCAGGACCTCACGACAGACGCCTTCAAAGCAACCTGTTCCGGAATAACATGTGGTCACCACAATATTCAAGTCAACAATCTGTCGCAAATGCCCCTTGGTGTCATGGCCCATTGCTGGCACGTTCTGCAGCAAGTGGTCTGTTTGCTGTGTGTTGTAACTCAATGCCGCAGACAGATCCTCAGGCCCTGAAGGAAACCACGAACACTCCCCACGTTTGTGTCGCTTCTTCGGCACACGCGCAGGAGAAGAGATTGCATCCGTCTCCAAGTCTTTCAACACATGATGAGTCTCAGCTTCTGCCATGACCGCACAAGGCACAGCCACGACTACGACCGACTACGCACGGCTGTAAATGACCCGATGCAAGACTTAACTAGCATGACAACTTGACTTGACAACATCAACTACATCAACCCTGCTGCTGAGCTGCTGCTGCTGCTGAGCTGCTGCTGCTGCTGCTGTCGCCCTGCTTTCTTTCTATGTGGTTGCTGCGTCAGTGTGCACCACTTGACCACTTGCACAGCAGTCTATCTTTCTGGCTTCACGAGACTGAAGCTATGAGCGACGAGCGACAGACGACCGTGCCACATCTTGACTGACCACAGCACATGCCCTCTCCCTCTCTCAGCTCTTTCTCTCTTGCTCAAGCTCAAGCTCAAAGCGGCCACACGCACACACACACACACACACACACACACACGAACTGCACCGTGTTGCTTCCTGTCATCTTCCATAGCACCACCATCTCAATCATCCCCACATCAGCAGCAAGTCAATTCATCGGCGGCAGTACCCTCAACAGCATTTCCACCAGTCACAGCCACAGCCACCCACAGGGCTGCATCATCGTTCTCAACGTCATTCATTATATCATCATCACCAATCACGATCATCATCGTCGTCATCATCATCACACTCACCTGGGTCATCACCCAGCATCATCATCACACTGCCCGTCGTCACCATTATCATCATCGTCATCAGCATCATCCAAATATTAGCAATACCGCCGCTATCAGCACAACTGATTCATCATCCCCTGGCCCCTTCCGGCAAGCAGCAGCAGGAGAAGCACCTCCACAGGCACCATGGAACCGCCACCACAACGACTACCGCCGCCATCACCAACAAAACACTGTCAGCTTTGCAATCTGCCACTCGGCAGCCTTGCTCTCTGCCACTCGGCAGCTTTGCTCTCTGCCTCTCTCTCTCTCTCTCTCTCTCTCTTTCTCTCTGTCCCTCTCTTTCTCTGTCTACGACCTGTGTGACACTGTGTGAGCCAAGCCATTCAAGCCATGTTGTTTGTGGGGGAGCTAGACAACCTTCGTCCTGCCGTCCTGCGTTGCCACCCCATGAACAAAATGCCTTCACCTAGCCCATGATGCTCGCCTTATCCAGACAACAGACAGGGAGTGCACTCGCCTTGTGCAAAATCATGAGCGCGCATCATAAAACTTGGCACACGGACTGGGCTTGGGGTGGGCTGCTGGGCTGGGCTGGGGCTGGGCTGGGGCCCTGCCACCCAGCATCATGAGCATCAGGCGGGTTTGGGGCAGCCGAAAGGTATTTTGCCTGGTCTTGCCAAGACCAGGCAAAATAGCCTTGTCCAGCCAAGTGGGGCCAAGGGCCAGGGTCGGGGCAGGATTTTGGGCAAGGCTGGGGCTGGGGCTGGGGCTGGGCTGGGGCGGGCCCTGGGCCAGCCCTGGGGGCCTGGGGCCCGGGCTGCTGGCCTCTTCCTAGAAGGCAAATGCCTGGGCCCGGGGCCCCGTAAAGGAAGCTGCTTTACTTTTTGAACACCTATTCCACAAAACAACAAAAGAAACACTGGAAGACACCCCAAACAATCGAAAAAAACAATTAAAAGCTTTTCAAAGTCATGAAACCCTTCAAAAACCAGGAAAGCCTGCAAAAACCATCGAAACTATCAGAACACCAGCACAACGACACAAAAACCCTTAAATGCACACAAACCTTGCCGATACAACGAAAATCATATAAACTCTCAGAGAAACACGACCTCAGCTGGCAAACAAGCTTCAAAACCAACAAAAACAAACAACGCTTAGCAAAACAATTAAAAAAAAAACAAAAACCAAGTGTAAACTGATGTGTATACTGTTTAGGAGTTAAACCCTAAAATTTTTGACGTCACACACGGTAACTTATAATTATCATCATTTAAAAATCGCCGGTAACATTTATAAATCGCTGGTAACATTTTAAAATCGCTGGTAACATTTTGGAATCGCTGGTAGGAAATCGCTGGTAGGGATTGGAAATCGCTGGTAAGGATTTAAAATCGCTGGTGGGGATTTAAAATCGCTGGCCCGGGTATCTTCAGCAGGTAGCTATATTTCTGGAATATCCTGGTATTACCAAAAAATTAAAAAAATACAAAATGCACAAATTGAGCTTGCATGTCACCTGTTTTGTTAGTTTTTGCATTTCTTGAATAGTTCAAGGTGTTTTTGCATGTGGTTTCGGAGATTATTGTGTTTCTGGTGGTTGTTTGCATTTATACGGATTTTTTAGTAGTGTTCTATGGTTTTGCTGTGGTTCTATATTTTGTTTGCATTTGTTGCGATTTCTTTGGTTTTCCAGGCTTTCTTAAAGTTTTTAAGGGCTGTTCAGGATTTCTCTGGTTTTCTTCCATTTTCCTGACAAAAGCGAAAGGTGTGCGCACACGCGCTCCCCCCGGCCCCTGTGCACCTGCTTGCCTGACCTGGCCGTTGTGCCGCTGTGGCTTTGTCAGATTCAGCAATTCTTGAGCAACGGAAGCCAGCCGCCCCTTCGACAAATCAGTGCAAAGCCAAACTTAAAAGCCATGCATTGCGCACCCACTAAGCAAACCATCCCCCGGCCTCTTTCCCGCTCCCCCTTTTCACCCAAACACGAAAGCTGTGTCTTTTTAAGGCACTGATTCATACAATTCACCGGGGATTGGGGCTTAAAGACAGCAGCACAGTAGTGGAAGAGACCTCTGCTCGGCAGCACCGACCTACGACAACAGACATGACTGCTTGCCAACACTGCCACTGTCCCGATAACACAGCACATGTTTCCCTCACTCTTTGCCTCTTCTCGCTCGCTCTGTCTGTCCCCTGTCCATCTGTGTGCTGTCCACATGCAGCATGTGATGTTGAGGAGTCGAGCATGATGTGAAAAGCCACGGAAAGAGGTATCTCAGATCGTTAGAGAGAAAGGGAGAGATGGAGATGCAAAGGACAGGGGGCGAACGAGGAGAGCGAGCGAAGGAGCGAGAGGGAGAGAGAGAGAGAGAGAGAGAGAGAGAGAGAGAGAGAGAGAGAGAGAGAGAGAGAGAGAGAGAGAGAGAGAGAGAGAGTGTGTGTGTGTGAGAGAGATAGGAAAGAAGGGAGGGAAGGAGAAGAAGATGGCGAACTCTATCGGAATATGCGCGACTGCCCACATAATGAAGTGTCAATGTCTCAAGCTTGAACTGTCGGCACCTTTGCAATGCCTTAGAAGGCACAGTCGGCTTCAAGGCTGGCTCCCACCTTTTCCCACATGTGGACGGCTTGAATCATGAATCCTGCTGCACAATCTAGGAAGCATCTGATCCAGAGTCTGAGTCTGAACTGCTGCTGGAGGAGCTAGAGCTTCTGCTGCTGTGGGATGAATCACCATCACGATCGTGGGAGGAATCAGAATCAGAAGAAAGCATATCATCATCGTCCCCTGCTTCATCCTCGTCACACGCAGGGACCGCAGGGGCGCTTCGTGCCGCTGCCTTGGGCTTCGCTTTACTCTTGGATGCACTCTTGGGAGCACGCTTAGTTTTGGCCTTCGCCTTAGCTTTGGCCTTGGCTTTACCTTTGGCAGCCGGGGCGGCAGCATTGGCTTCTGCATCCAACTCAACATCGGTCCTCAAGGATTCAGGTCTTTCCATGAAAGCGACCTGTGCTTGCAACACAGCCATGCTTGGACACCTGTCGGCAGGCAACGGCACCACCAAGTGATGACATTGACGATTGTAGTCTGCAGACATGCACAACCACCAGCAAAGGCGGCGGTATGTGAGGTCTCTGTCTGCTTGGCTGGGGCCTGGCACAGAGAGGTAACGTTTGCAACCGGTTCTGGAGTTTTTGGCATGGTACAAGCAGGTCGCTTGATATCCGCCGTAGTGGCCGCCAGCGACAGTACCGGGTGCCTTCGTAGATATTCTGAACATTCCAAAGAAGCCGCCATCTAGCCTGGGTCCAGCCGCAGCGGGCGCCACAGCTGCTACAGGATTCGCAGCAGCAGGTGCTGCTGCCGCTGCTGCTGCCGGCACTGCTCCATCGGGAGCAGCAGCCGGCTCCTCTACGGCTTCCGGGACTTCAAGCTGATCGGCTCCGTCATCATGAACAGAATCGTCATCCACAGCATTCTGCTCATGTTCCTCGATCAGCTCCCCCAGCATGGCTTCCAAGTCGTCTGAATCCGCATGGTCGTCTGCCGCTGGATCATCAGCAGCTCCAGGTTCGTCTGCATCTTCCAGCCTTGGCGGCGGTGCATGACCTGCAGCATCGTCTGGCAACGCTTCATCAATCTCAGCTGGAAGTGCTCGAAATCGTGCCAGCTCGTCTTCCAGATCCCCTCGCAGGATGTTCTTGTAGCAGGCTTCTTCCTGCCATGTGCGATTGCTGGCAGCCCCATGTCAAAAGAAGTCTCTGCATTCAGCAGAGCCAGCATGTAGCAGCGAGACGGGCTCTCGTTGGAACACCAAAGCTTTCGCCCCCCCCTGCTGTAGTCATCAAAAGTATCACCTGCAATCGCCATGCGACGTGTCCGCTTTGACGGTGGCACCCATCGACGCCATTCCCAGCCGGCTTCTTGCATAGCCATCATCAACTCATAAGTACTCCTTTCTTGCAAGGGCAGATGCTCTCGAACTCGGAAAACACGCGAAGGATTCTCCAATTTCGAGCATGTTGTCAACTGCTTCGTAGCTTTGTCCGTGAGATGCCAGCGAATATCTTCCCGCCCAGTGGATGTGACGACGCCGTGCTGCGCCAAGACCTGCAAAACTGGCATCTGCGTCTGCACTGCTGAAAAGCCAAGACTGTCTTCAGAAGACTCGAAAGCCCCCGCAGTCACCATTCCATGAAGAAGGTTATGAAGCTCGCCACGCTGAAAGCCGTAAAGATTGCTGTTGCGCAGGGTCCAGGCAAGGCTGGCCGAAGCCCACGTGCGCATGGTCGTTTGCAGTTCGTCCAAGTTGCCAGCAAAGCCGCGAAGCAGAAACTGGCCGCTTACATCTTGAGTAGCCTCAGGGTTCTCACCTATCAATACTGTGTCTGAGGACAAAGCATTCTCCCCACACAAGCTCGTGTGGGAAATCACAACAGCACCCTTAGTCAGCCTGCCGCCAGCCCCCACAGTCGGTCGAATCACCTTCTTGTCAGCTGGATTGTTCATGACGATCTGAAAAGTCACAACATCATTGCTATCACCCTCTGCGTCCACATCGGGCCGACGAATCTCCGCAGCATCCTCGTCAGCATCACGCACACATCTAGCAGCTTTGGTCAAAGGTTCGTTCAAAGCGCTTTCCACACTTTGCACGGCGAGGCAAGCTTGGGAGCAGAGAAGAAACAACTTCCGTCGTGTTGATCGTTGTGCAGCAGCATGTGTTGCTGCATCGCATTCATCAGCACAGCTTCATGGGTCAAGCCTCGCTGCTGCGAAGCCTGATCGAGCAGTTTAGCCTGGGCCTGGTTTGCTTTCCGCTTGAGCTTCTCGTTCGATTTCACAAATTCTTCATGAGACTCACACATGCTGTGAATATCGCAGTGGTAGATAATCTTGGTCAAGACCACACGCATGCGTGCAGGTCCCTTGCAATACACATCGCGTGCAAGATTTGGGGCTTTAGGACTTATAGGGTTGATTCATGAGTGCGGGCCTAGCATCAACTGTAGAGAGTCGACTGTGTAGAGATAGGTTAAGGAGGATATCGCAGGAGATTCGGGTTCCATCGGGCCGGGCCGGGCATACCAGGCAGCATTACTAAATCAAAACAATCCTGGCAACCCTCGGTATATAGGAACCAGGAAAGCCGAGTGCCTTCAAGAGCCGGATGGTCTTGCAGTCCCAGCAGCGCAGGCACTGTCTTCAGAGAGCGGCTTCGATTGAAACGATCGAGCAAGTCAGTTGCAGAGATAGTTTCTTTCCTTATCCAACGTTCCATCAGGGGCAAGCGGTTCGCTAAAGAGATTCGAACCGGCCCTAATCGCCTGGATCGCTTGCTCAGAGCAACTCTTGCATGTTTTTCCTCGATTGTCGTTTCGACAATCGGGGTGAAGCGCCAAGCCGAAACCTGCTTCTGGAACGTTTCACAAAGGCCATCGAAATTAGCCCCTTCAACCCATGCTTTCAATGAATCCAAAAAACTCCCTGGGGAAAGCAACTTGGCAGTGATCCTGTGGTGTGCTTCGGGTCTTGGGTCCAGTTCCCACTGCCGCAAAATCTGAGCACCGATCTCACGAGATGTTTGCTGGCAGACATGCGCCAGACCGACGAAAAGCCAGGGCAGCTTCTGCAAGCACGATGTCTTCAGCCTCAAGAGAAGGAGCATCATTGTTTTGCCTGCAGGGAGAAGAAAACTCAAACAAATGCCCTCGATCGAAAAGACTGTGACGATCGCCTGCGACCTGAAGCTATGAATAAATTTCCGAACCCTGAAGCCTCACCAACAAACACACAACGAAACCACCGAGTCAAGCCTTAAGTCGAACCCAGCCCGGAGTTCCCAAGTCCTACACAAGGCACACCTGAGCGAAAATCATCGAAAAGGCTGCTCCACTCATCAGCAGACATGGGTGGCAGCATCGGCAACGGCAACAATTGAAGTTGAGTTTCATGAGTAGAACAGATCTCCTCAAACGCAGTCTCCAGATCACCACCGACAATTTCTGGCGCCAGCTTTCCGGCTAAGGGGCATACGAACATTTGGTTGGCGTAGTGCTGCTGCAAGCACTTCCTCTGCATATGGACACTCAAATGCCTGAACAAGTGGCGATGACACATGCACGATTCGGCAGAGCTTGCGAGCTGTTCTGGAATCTCCTCGAGCTTCAAGGCCATGCCGACATACGCGTGGAAGAAAGAACTGCAGACTGCTTCCGAAATCTTGTCTGGATCCAGTGACACCAAGCCTTGCCGAGATTGCTGAGCCTGCTCAGCCTGTGCTTGCACTGGCCGTGCAGCACCATTGATGTCAACGCCACGAACATACTTTTGTGCGTCCCATGCTTTGGCCAAGATAGGAAGGAGAGGCTTCAGTTGCCTCAGGAACCCCAGCACCTCATGCCAACGGTTCTCGTACAAGCTGCCACGGAAAGTTGCGAAGCGACCTGATTGACCCTCCAAGTTTGTCCCGTGCAAGCAACACCAAACGAACCGCTGTCGCCTTTCATCGACTCTGAGCAAGGCTTCGATAGCCTTCAAACTGCTATAAAAATCATTCCAGCGACTCAAGCTTTGATGCACATCGGAGCAAAGGTTGTTGACCACATGCTGCAAGCCGGCAATGGGGAACGCATTCGGCATGAAGAACACTGTGTCGGATCCTTCAGCTCGTGGCCTAGCTGGCTCACCATGCTCAGCCTCAACATCCATGTGCCCTTCCTGTGGGACTTCATTGTCACTAGCAGGCCGCGGGCCATCAACATCGACATCATCCGGATCCTCACGCGGAGCATCAAGCATGGCACCATCAACGTCTTCGTGATATTGCGCAGGCGCAGGTTCAAGGACGGGCTCGGGGCACACGCCGCCATCAACGTCAATGTCAGGCATAGCCTGCCGCTGCCAGGACGGAAGCATATGCTCAACAGAACCTGGGAGCTGGAAGTCGGGCAGGCTCAACTCGGTACCCATGTCACTACAGTGGGCAACATACGACAAGCTATGTTCCGCTAGCGGGGTCACGGCACTTGTCTCCAACTGCCACTTGTGTACCTCCGCTGCGGCCTTGTCCGCAAGTGAGCGGTGGCCACTGCCCAGGGCTGCTGGTGGGTGGATGTGCTCGTGAATGCTTTTTGCCAGAAGCGCCAACAAAGGACGCCACTCAGGCAAAGGCTCCGTGCTCAAAGGTTCAACATCTCTCTCATCGTCGGCAGCCTCGGCAGCTTCAAGTGCCTCCTCATGCTGTGCAACATAATCCGACACGGCACGATGCAGCTCGCGCACCGCCTTGAAGCAAGCAATCACAGATGATTCAGGAATCTCGTGATATTGAGACCAGATCCAATCGTATCCTGCAAGCGGCGACGAATCAGTCCAGCCAACACGAAAGCATCTCTGATTTGAACGCTGCTTGGCACACAGCATCAAAGCAACATCGAGCGCTACTTCATAGCGACGAAGCAGAGAAGCACCTGGCAAGATTGCATGGCCTGTCTTATTTGGAGACGAAAGGCTCTGGATGAAGGGAGCACGCAAAAACTCTGGAAGCACGGTTGCCAGCGACTGCGAAACAACATCAGCCAATGCAGTAGGCCCGCCTCTCAGAAAACTGGAGAGTCGAATGCATTCAAGAAGTTTGCGGGAGTTGTGGCGGAAATGAGAACCCCCACCAGGAATGCTCACCATTCCCATCGCCTGCCGCCAAGAAAAGCTCCATCGATCCAGTGTGGTGAGAATCAAGTCTACATCTTGCCGCACCATATCGCGAGAAGGGCCAGGCCGATCCTCACCAAGCAAAAGCGGCACCCAGCCCCGGATCTTGGAGGCGAACTGACCAAGCGTCTCAGCATCGAGCCGCAGCAAAGCGGGGGGTTCCGTGTCAGGTTCATTTTTCTGAAGGCTTTGGCCTCGCTTTTGCCACACAACCGCATCATGAGGCGGCCAGCTCTCCACGGGCCCCCGCGGAATCCGGTGACGATGCAGATGCAGCTGGCTGTGCCAGCGCAAAAGCAGCAAAATGCTGCTCCAAGATCCGTTGAGCAGAAGATACACGATGGGCCATGGAAGCAACAAAACAGGGAGATCCTCAGGCCTACGATCACAGTTCCAAGTCGAAAGCACCCTTTCAACACTCTCCTCACCTGCCACTGTCAACAGTCGCACATCAGATGCACTGCCATGGGCGCCGCCATGGCCCCAATGAGCAACGAACAAGGGGTTGTTCCTGTCAATGACACTCAGGCCGCCAGAACCCACTGCACGACTCAGCTTATGATGCACGGCAACAGGCTCGGTGCATTTGCACGTCGACTGAACATGCAAATTGTAAGCATCTGCTGGCAAACCATAATGGTGTCTCTGCAATTCGTCCTCGGCACTCCAGTTCGTCAGCACACCCTCCTCAAACACAGAGCCGTCTGTCGACAACTGCACGAGTCCATGCAGTTTCAAGTCTTCTTTCTTTGATAAAGCTGAAAGCTGTGACTGGCACTGATACAGAACCGTCTTGTGAAAACCTGCACCACCAGCCCGGTCCAAAGCAGCGCAAAACCACGGCCGAGTCTCCAAGCACCGGCGCACAACCTTACTCCCCACTCCATGGTGGGGCCGTCGGAAACGACAGCTGCCGTCAGCAAAGGAACCCAGCCACAAAACGCATGTATGCATTGGGGCTCATTGTGCGAAACAGGGCCTAGCCGCTCCTAGCCTTTCGCTACACTACACTCACTGCATGTGCCTTCGCAATGTGATGGAAAGTACCATAAAACGACGGCTCCTAGCTAGCCTACCAACCTACTGGAAAGTTGAATGTGAGCACTGCCTTCCATGCAACAATTGCGTAAACTGGCACGACTTCAAGCGGCATTGCTTTGTTACCTGGCTCAAAATCTCAGAGGAACTTTAAGGGTCTGGGGTGCTCGAGGTGTTGCCATCCCAGCACGTTAGCATTGCTTCGTTGCCTTCACTACCGGGGCTGACGGGGCTACTCGGCCTCAACTACGAAACCAAGATCAGCGGAGACTGTTTGTCATTGGTTTTGTTCTGCTCCCGAAAGCTCAGAAAGCGCAGCAGCGGGAGGCGGGTTAGGGTCTACACGACTCTTCTACGATACACCCACAGACAAAACACTACACTACATCGAACATTCGGTGTAAATAGAGTTAAATAGAGAAAGGTAGTCAAGTACTCAACTCTCTCCATGATCCTCGCGCAAAACAAAGCATCGCTGCTCATCGAAGCAGGCGGGCTCACACCCAAACAGCTTTCAAGCAATCGTTTCCAACCAATTTACCCGAAATTTTATGGTTTCCGATGGAAGTTACCCTGCGCAGAGTCGCGATGATTCAAATCAGAAAATTCTGTTTGTTTCGGAAGACAAATCGCATCACGCAGCCCCAAGTCATCGCGAGCAAACCCACGAACCCGAATGCTTCAAAGTTTCCACAGCCTTCCAAGCTGGTCCCGGGCTTTTCAAAGCCTCGAATCTTGGCCCGAAGCGTTTCAGCACTGTTCAAAAAGCCTCGAGACTTGTCGCCGGCGATTTTGTGGAAACTGCTCCAATTTCAAGCTGGTATGCGGCGGTCCCTGACTAGGCATTTCTCAGAATTTATACAGGTTTGTCTGTTGGCAGTGTGCCTCGGGTGCTTTTGCCAGAGCAAATTGCGGTGCGCCGCAACCTCAGCGCGCGCGAGCCAGGCACCTCCACGCAGGCAATCCGGTGACCACGTTCATCCATTTCGAGCGTTCACACCGGACCCAGACTAATCTCAAGTGGTGGTGCATAGCGTCAGCGGGGATGGCATGGAGGGTGGAGAGAACCTCAACGACTTATGTCGTCGGTTGCAAGGCTTCCACGAGGAGAGCGACTCAGCCAAAGAGAAGGGACTTGCCGCAAGAGGTCCGTCACAACCCAACCACCAAGTCCAATTGCCAGGTATACTGGCAACCGAGCGAGCACTGTCACTATCGGTGTCCGAGTCGGCATGGTGGCAAGGGCCGCCGCCCACACAGTTGAGCCCAGCTTCGACGTAGGCCATGTAGCCCGTCGGAAGGCTCAAGGGAAGTATCGACACAACGACGTATGTCGTCAGTCCCACGGTCGGCCATTGTGGAGGTCACCTAGATGAGCCAGCCGCCGCACCACGCGGCCAGCTGTCGAGCAGGCGTTGCATGTCACGACCACTCGAAGGAAAGTGACTCTCCTTCAGGAGATAGAGCATTTGGTAGTTTCTCTCATTGTAGATTTCCCTCACACTTGTATATGTATACTGATGATCGTCATGGTCGTCGCCATGAAGATGTGGCATTAAATCGGTGGATATACAAGGAAATTGGAGGCCAGGGCCGAGGTCCCCATCCCTGAGGAACTCCTCCGCCGCAGCCTTCCAGCGTTCCTGCGCCTGGGGATGCCCCAACCTGAACCAGGGGCGCTCACCTCCCGGCAGCTCCTGCGCCTGGTTCTCCTCTCGGGCGATCAACCGATGGAGGAGGACCATCGCTTTTGCATCAACTGCATCGAAATGTGCAAAGCGCCACAAGCGGGTGGGGAAGTAAAACTTCTTCTTTTGCGGCCCGGAGATCCCAGCCCTCGGAGGTGGCCGCGGCTCGAAGACGCCACAGGGCGCTATTCAGCAGGCCCGCTGCCTGAATCGAGAGAGACGGCTGTGCCTGCAAACCCAGTGAGATGTCCGCAAGCGGGAAGAGCAGGCGAAAAGTGCCCCTATATGTGCCCGGATAAGTGAACATTCGCGGGTCAAACTCGCCGCGCCTGGCCGGAAGGATTCCACTCTCGAAGCCCGCCATCAATCGGTCAGCAATGGTAATCTGGGGTCGGCCCACCAGAGCAGCCGGAACCTCGCATTTGACTCGGACCTCAATGCGCTGACGGAGCAGCCGTGGGGTCGTCAGCTAATGCCCGTGTGAGATAGAGCAGCAGCTGTACCGGCAGCAACACACCACAGTGCAGCAGTGGGGTCCCCTGTGTCGCGTCAACACTCGTGCCGCCTCCCCCTGTAGTGCGCCGTTGGCTGGAACCGGCGCCGCGTCGGCTGCCTGTCTGCAAAGGTTCTCGCGTGGCGGTGGGGTCCCGCTTGGGGGCCAAGGACATTTGCACCAAGCTGCCGTCCCGGACTGGAGATTTTCGTCCTGCCAGGGCACGGGGGCCTTGAGTCCTGCAAGCTCATCGAGAAGCAGCCACCACCAAATCTCTGGTCGAGCGAGCTCATACCAGGATAAGTCAAAAACTCGTCCTTCAGGCAGACGCAGAACTGGGTCGCAAAACTGAGCCAAGGCTACAGACACTGCCAGCAAGGGCGTTAGACAGACGCGAAAGGCTTCGCTATCAGTGCAGCGTCGCAACATGAGGGCCCGGTCAGCGAAATCCACCACCTTCACCCCAAAATTCTGAGGGCTGAGTTTGACTTCACAAGCGGGCAGTGACAAGGGGAGGGAAAGCAAGGTCAGGCAATCGGTGGGGTTGGGCAACAGCTGTTGTAGTGCACCCGCACAGTCCATTCCTTCGACAGGCCGCTGTTGCCGGCCCCGAGCTTGGTAGCGCCGAAGGATATCACGCTGCTCTTCGAATTCTTCCTCGTCTTCTGCCGGTACACACCGGCTGGCAATGGATGTAACTCCCGGCACAAGGCGGCAAGGCGGAGTCTCCACTGCGTCCAACAAGGCCGCCACACGTTGGCTCCATGTAGCACTAGGTGCGGCGGGAAGGGAGGCAGCGCAACTTTGACTGCGCAACTCCGCGGTCAGCGCAGGATCCTCTTTGGCAGGCACTCCTGTGTCCGGGTCCGGGCGAAGCTTTCCCGCCGGATCGTAGAGGGCGCGTGGCAAGCCCGTAGTAGCAACCGGTGGCAACATGACCGCTTCAGGGCTAGATTGGCGTACCTGTGACGACACGAAGCGCTGCAACCTCCCAAGCAACGTCTTGTTGATCGTGTCCGAGGCAATGGCAAAAAGGTAGAAGGCCCCCGGCACAGCGGTGACAAGCGACTCCGATGAGCTGGCTTGGCCCCGACACACTGTCGCTGGGGGGTCGAAGGACATGTGCGTCCCGATGAGAGACCTATGGTGAGTGGAACGGAGCGCACTGTATAGCCTTTTGGGGGGAGGCACGCCCACACCCTTGTGCTCTCGAAGACAGTAGAGACCAAACCGCAGCGGTGTAGTGAACTCTAGCAGTCCGAAGACTGGGCACTCGGTGTCAATCACAGGATAGAACGGGCGTGCCTTGATGGATTGGCCACTAGGTCCACTGTGCTCAAAATCCACACCCCGGAGGAGGAGCTGGACCGGGTAACCGTCCATGCCACTGTGTGCAGCGACGGCTGTAGCATCGCAGAGCGGAGGAACGCGGTTCACGGACCACCGTTCATACCCAGAGCATCCCGAAGCGTCGATTTTGAAGCTGCTGGATGTATCAGCGGCTGATAGATCTGTTTGAATGATCAAAAACATAGCATCAGCGGCTGATAGGATTAATCAGCGGCTGATGGAGGTTAACAGCGCCGATTTTGAAGCTGCTGCTCCCGGCAGCGGGCAAAAGGACACTGCGATCCGGAAGCGGGCAAGTCCAATTATCAGCGGGGGTCGAATATGTATAAGTATATACATGGACAATATTTTTTGATATACATATACATACATACATACATACATACATACATACATACATACATACATACATACATATATGTGTGTGTATATATATATGTACATGTACATGTACATGTACATGTACATGTACATGTACATGTACATGTATGTATGTATGTATGTATGCATGCATGTATGTATGTATGTACGTATGTATGTGTATATATATATATATATATATATGTGTGTGTATGTATATATGTATATATGTACGTACAGCAGATGCATGCATTGTTTTTTGCAGCAGGCAGACAGGAAGAAGCGAGCTCCGGCATTGTTCGAGTGATCCATGCAGGTGCATGCTCTATCCCGCATGCTCGTGCTGGCAGGTGGGCTCGATCTATAGGCTAACTGTAGCTATAGCTGTGTACGTAGAGCGATCATGTCGTCCGAGGAGATTTTCCAAGCCATGTGTAAAGCTTGCCCAGCGGCAGCGATCAAACAGGCGATCGAAGCGAATCACGGGCTGTTTTGGTACCCAAAGCAAAACGTGGAGCTAGCTTGCTGCAACTTTGCAGGATTGCTTAAGGAGCTCTTCAAGTTGGGGAAGACGTTGCTGCCGAAGGAGACTCACAAAGCAATGGAGAGATTCAACACTCTCCATTGCAACAAGCTCCTTGACGACAAGAGGACCGCCCGCAACCAAGGGCAGGGCATCTTAAACATGATGAGCTTGGTAAACCGCAAACGTCGAAACCTCAAGGACGGCTCCCGCATGTCCGAGACCATGGTCGAGTTAATCGAATGTTCAAGGATCGCCCCAGGCTCCTGCTCTTCGACATCGATCCAGGAGGGTCGCAGGGCATCGTTGTCGCAGGGTCGCAGGGCATCGTTGTCACCGACAGGTACCCCAAAGCACACTCCGGACGATATCTTGGAGGCCTTTGGCTTGCAGAAGAAGGTGGATGATTCCGATGATGATGCCGTCGTCGTCGTCGAGCCGCAGGCCCTTAAGGACGAAGTCGTGGATCTTGAGAAGGACCTCGTGACGATCAAGGACTACA